AATCTGCGAGGTTCTAGATAGTTGGGATTCAGAGCTCGGGTAAAATTGAAGCAGGGGTGGGGGTTGACATGGCTGAAAGGGCGGGCGGCGGGATGCTGAACTGAGGGTTTTGGCATATGACTCACCTCGAACATGAAAGCAAGTAACAAACTTAGGATTTGTGATTTTTGCACAGAAGCCTTTAGGATGCTACAGGCTTCGGCTGCTCTCAGGGCCTATGGTACTATGAACCCTGATGGTGGGACTCCCGGGCCTTTGCGGCTGTGGACTCTTCCAGCTGTCGCTCCAGCTGCCGTAGAGTGCCCTCGGACCTCAGAGACCGGGTTTAGGCCCGTCGCCCTGCGAGGGATAGGGTCCCTAGGGACAGCATGGTCACTTGGCAGTTTTGCTTTTCCAAGCATAGCATGCAACTGCGGTAGATTACGCGATTACGGTTTTTCTGGTCTTAGACTTTGGAATTATCTTGGTCAGTGCGGTCGTTGATACGAACAATGTCAAACACACTTCTTTACACGCCTCATGGTGGCTCTTGGATGAAACCTTGTAATTACACGGCTCGAGGTGTGACCATGAACGTTCTGTGCGCAGCAGAAAACCGGTCCATCCATCCATCTGTTTCTCACGAGTATATTGTGCTGAAATGATATATTAGGAATAGTGTTAGTCGAGATCTTCGTGCACTCGTGGGCGCTCTGATTTTGTCAGGCTCATCCTGCAGCGATTTTCTCTACTGGCCCTCCGAGGGGCACGAGGGAACCAGCACTAAAAGATTAGAGTGTAGGGTTGAGTCTTCAGGGTCCTGATTCAGGATTTGACCGATGTTGCAAAGGTGATACGGGCCTAAATAATTATCAATATTATTGTGGGGGGGGGTCTTTCTTATAATTATAGTATAATGGATCCCAAAACCCTATGTATGCCCCTTTTGTAGGGGGCTGGTTCCCAGAAGCTGGCAGGCAAGTCGGTCATTGGAGCCTCCGTAGATCTGAATCCACGTACCTGGTCGAACGTCGCTAAACCCTAAACCCTATTTGGGTTTAGGACCCTAAACCCTAAAGAGGGTTTAGGGCCCTAAACCCTTAATAGGGTTTAGGACCCTAAACCCTAAATAGGGTTTAGGACCCTAAACCCTAAATAGGGTTTAGGGTTTTGGGTTTAGGGGTTTAGGCATCGCTAGCAGGTCTTTCTTCAGAAACACTGGAGGCGGAGATGCTTAAGTTCTCGCGTGGCCAGTCACTGATCAACCCCCATCCGTTACTGAAGTGGCTGTTCTTAGGGTTTAGGGTTTAGGGGTTTAGGGTTTAGGGTTTAGGGTTTATCATGATCCTGCGGTAGTGCAGCAGAAGTTGGTGTACTCGAGTTACGCTAATGCCAAGCGTGACCGGCGTTCCTAACTGCAAGTGAGGGTAGCCTCAATTGGCCGTTGGCATCTTTGAAGTAGAATGCCTGACACAGGGATACACCGGGTACGCAAGCTGCCCTGCAGAAAAGAATCTTCTCTAAGGGCTCCGGGAACAGTGCGGCTCTGCTGTATACCATATAATTGGTGCTCTTCACTCTAGATTGTAGGCTACAGGCTACTCCATGATATCATGATAATAACCAGAATATACGCCTCACCTATCGTCTGATTTTGAAAGACTGGAGGCCGAGACAAAAGAGCCCAAACAAATGGGGGCCGTGCCTTCGAAGACGTGCGCGATCTTCGCAGACGTCGTTGCAGAATCCTGGCAAAGCCCACTCTTCTTTGCAATGTAAACCCGTGCTTGATCGCAGACCCGTTTGTAAAGGACACAATGTTAAAATCCTTGTCATAACCCTCGTTAGTCAGAAAGACCTTTGTGCTTGAAACAGGCGCCAACCGCAACCTGAAAGTCGGGTGTGCGTGCGGCTTTTGCGATGCATCAACATCGTGCAAAGCACGAGACAAGCGAGTTTCACCCACAAATAATGAGTTATATTCCTGCTTCTACAATCGAAGCCAAAACCGGGTCAAAACAGTGTGTGTGCGCGTGCGTATGCATGTGTATATGTAGATGTATATGTATATGTATGTGTGTATATATATATACATATACAAAGATAGAAGAGAGAGGGAGGGAGGGAGGGAGGGAGGGAGGGAGAGATACACAGATAGATAGAAAGAGGCGCAACCGCACGTACACCTGCACACATGCACAATCTATTTCTGTCTGTTCGTCTGGCTGTTTGTCTGCCTGCCTTCCGTCTCTCTGTCTTTGTCTCCGTCTGCCTTTCTGATGATCCTTCCTTTTCCGTGCTATCTTGTAACCATCACTTCATCACCCCATTTATCTGTGCGCAAAACTAAGGAAACACTCCACCCCGGAGACCCAAGGCATGAGCTCTGCGGCGGCTCCTGAGGATCCCGCGAAAGGCATCCTCCCGGGGCTTTCGCGGTCTCCGGCTTATGGGGCTTCGGGTCTCGGATGGATCGTCGGAAATTTTGGCCAAGCCCGTGAGATCAGGAGCCGTCCTGCCCATCTTCTGCTGGGCAAACGCGATGTTGTCGCTGAAGATGTGCTCGCACGTCCAGCTTCTGTGCCAGGGCGTCTTTGCATAAGAACAAGACATGCAGGAGGGCGGCTTTTCACTGTCCGAAGCGCTTAGCTGGGAAGCCAGACGCCCTGCCAGTGGCATTAACAGGGGTTGTGCTGAGTCTGCAGAACCGCAACATGCAGCCAAAGTCCTCCCTTAAGGAGTTGACTCAGCCAGTGTGGCACTGGAGATTTGGATCTTGGAACTACTATGACTAAGCACCGCAGCAATCTTCAGTGCCAGACAACTGCGATTGGTAGTTTCGTTATCACGCCTACTTAAAATCAAAGAAGCACCACATCGGCCGCTGGCTGTTTGCCATCGAGTTGTGCTCAAACGACCGTTTCGAGAAGGAAAGCTGGCAGCACTCCGTGCTAGCTCTTGGCATCAGGAAGTGGCGGTGCCACCTTACTGGTCGGATCTTCTGTACGGGCTTCGGATCTCTTCCGTGCGAGCCTGGCCTGTGAACCTAACATAGGGGCCTTAAGACTTGGAACATGGTTTCGGAGTCTGTAGTACGGAAAAAGTACTCCGAATCATTCACGTAACTACCAAGACCCTGATACAAGTATCGTACAACTTATTCCCCAGCCCTACTCTATCTTCTTGCTTGTAAATTGGATCTCTGCACTACAATTATATTATGCTGTGGTATACTACACACGTATTCTGCCTTACCTTGCTCCCAAATCTTACATTAATTTTGTAGTTACATTATACTATGGTAAATAGTACAGTTATGTTATACCTCAATTATTCTCAAGTCCTACTCTAATGTCTTGTCTTTTTTCTGGACCTCTGAAGCCGAGGTGCATCTCCAACATAGCGCGGAGGAGCTTTCGCAGGTGCCATACCTGGCCGCGGAAAGCACGCGAAGCCCGTTGCGATTCTTGTAGAAGGAGTCTGTATGGGCTACTAAGAGGATTCCTTTAAAGGGGTCTGTAGGGGTTACTAGGGAGGGTTCTGCAAGGGTTCTGGAAGAGCTCTCTTTTCGAAACTCTACAAGAAGTCTGAATCCAGAAAGAACTCCAAACTCCGATGCCGCGAGGAGAGGGTATTTCAGGCGCACCGCAGAGCTGGCCGAAGCTCCTCATCAGCGAGTCCAAGAGTCCTCCATGTCCTGCGGCATACCCAGTACTCGGTTGTAAGTACCTTACTGTAATTGGGGCTATAAGTAATGTACGTATAGTTACCCTAATTAATAACACTAACCCTATTTACTACGTCCGATGATCCTTCAAGTAGGCACATCCGGACACTGCGATACGGGGCTTAGGGTTCTTTTGAGGTTCCTCAATGCGATAAGGGAGCTTCCGAAAACAGGGGACCCAATATAGTACCCTAAATAGTAGGATCCTTGTTATAAGAACGCCCAAAATAAGGCACCCCTAATTTTCGGAAACTCTAAACCTCTCATAAAGATAATTAGGTCCCTGAAAGGAACCCCCCTTAAAGGATCCCTTTAAAGGTACCCCTGTATTTTCGGAAACTCCCATAAGATCAAAGCCACGCTTGGGCTCCCCACGCTCTGGAGGCTCATAGCTCACGAGAGGCTTAGAGCCGAAGAGGGCCGCGATCTCGGCAGAGCTTTTAGGGGCTTAGGGGCTTTAGGGGTTTAGGGGTTTAGGGGCTTAGGGGCTTAGGGGTTTAGGGATTTAGGGCTGTGGGGTTTAGGGGTTTAGGGGCTTAGGGTGTAGGGTCTGCAGGAGAAGGAAAGCTGCAGGAGCTGAAGTGATGCAGGCGTTGCTACTCCAGGCCTGCACACGTTTTGTCGAACTCCTCAAAAACTACACCGTTTCAACCCTCTCGGAGTCTGGAAGTGCTTGGTGCGCAGCCATGTCGTTGAAGTTCACACGTCCTCGCAGGCGAAGTGACCAAGAGACAACACCGCAGCGCTGGCAAGTGGCTCCGGCGCAAAGCATTGCGCCTTCGCGCATCGGGTCAGCTTTCTTCATGATGTCAGCCATCTGTGCAAAGCTCATCGCTCTCCACGGATGATGGAGTCTAACGGGGGCAATAGCGCACCTGCTCCTCCTCCATCCCGTCCGGTCCCGACAGGACAAGCAAGACCTGGCCGGAGGTCCGCCCAAGCGTCTCGAACCACCAAGATAAAAGGAAGATGGAACAAATGCAAGAGACGATAACCAATCGAAGAAGGACCAACTTGTCTGCAAGTTGGACAATCGCGGGGGATGCCAGCTGCTCTCGGCAAGGCGCTCTTGAACTCGCTTCTCCTACACCTCTCTCGTCTGGCTCATGCGGCTTGCACGACAAATGCTGCCAGTTTTATCTGCTCCGTGCTGCGATCGCAGAGCTCTGCTTGCAAAGGCATGCAAGCCGATTATGCCCCCCGTAGTTGCTGCTCGCAAGATCCTGGACCCATCGTGCCTGCGTTCAGCCAAAACTTGCCCACTCTCAGCCCCTGAGACCATAAAAGAAATGCTTCACCGCACCTCTCGCAGCTGTTTGGTGGTGATGTGGCCGCTGCCATCATCCTGTCTCTGAACATTCAAGACTCTCTGTGGATTAAGGCTCCTTCGGGCTGTGAAGTTCGGGTTTATCTTGATTAAGGTCCCGTACAGACTACATAGGATGAAATTTGCAAAGCGAGACGGAACTCCACTTAGGCTTATCCAACCCTTAGTCTCAGCACTCACTGCCGTAGCTGCGAAGGGGACTGAAAAGATGGATGTTGGAAATACTTGTCATACTCTCATCGCAACATGCTTGTCTCTGCTTTGCAGAACACCTGCATTGCCAAACCCTAGACCCGAAACCCTGAACCAGGTAGCCGGTAGCCCCAACGGCAAGGCAACTGCTCCGCACCTTCTCCTGGAAAAGCCGCATGAAGTCCTTGCACGCCACAAGGCGGCGAAGGGTCAATGGATCCATGTTTGCTTTCTTTTTTTGTCGCGCAGCTTTCATGGCGCATTTGGCTGCTCGCCGCAGGCTCTTCAGATCAGAAATCAGTGCTTGCTGGAATCGGTCCTGGTGGAACGACTCCCGACTTTGGAGGGTTCTGACCAGCAGAGACACCCACTTCTGACGCGGAGACTTCGTCAGTGCACGTAGAATCAAGAACTCTTCGCTGTTTTCAGCAGACTCTGGAAGCAGGTCTTCCATCCGGCCAAGCATGGCTTCGACAATCAGTTGCTGCACAAATGGGAGGCCGCCCAACCCATGGTTCGCGACAAGATGCTGTGCCACAGATGCATCCACGTGCCAGCAGTGCACAAACAGATCTCGTCGAAGGTTGTTGCTGATGATATCGTAGACATCACTTTCTGGGAAATGGGTTTTGTGCCTGTTTGCCAGCATCATACACCACCAGCGGCACTTCCAGACTTGACATCTTTTGCAATTTCGACATCGAAAGCATCGTGGCCAGCAGCATCCCATTGTGCAGAAAACTCCAGAATCGACGCGGACCTGTCCAGCCTGCCCATTTCAGACAGGTGCTGTATCAAGACCCCCTGGGTTCGGCGGCCTGCCGGGAAGTCACTCGCCATTCCAAGATATCATCCACGGAGAGGTGCTGCAGCAGAACAGGCAAAGCTTCGAAGGACAGATGGAACGATTCGAAGGCTGCCTTCGCCGTCTCAGCGACGGAATCCAGCTCGTGTGCAGCAATGGAGCCCGTCGTGGCTCCGTTTTCTCGTTTCCTTTTCAAGCATCCCTACCGGACGTGACGTCCCCTTGTGAACTTCGCCCCTGTCCACCCAGAGCGCTCCAGGCAGATCTTCCTTGATACTAGGCAGCCCATCCTCCTTCACAGCGGCAGTTTTGCCAAGGCATTTGATGGTTCTGAGATCTCGATCTCAGAACCATCAAATGCCTTGGCAAAACTGCCGCTGTCGCTGTCGTCAGTGCTTGCCGACGTGGTTCTTGACGGTGCCGATCAGGCATCATACCTCCCTCACAGTCTGTCTTCAGACCCTTTCGGCGCTCTTCAACCATTTCCTGGACGTGTAGAGCGTTGCGCAGCGTCTCCTTGTCAGTCCAGCCGGCACGGTCGTCACGGCGAAGATTGTTGCACACTTTGCGCAAATCGCTGCACTCGTTCTGTATAGCGGACCAGGAGCTGAGCGCGAAGAACGATGATCGTTCTTCGCGCTCAGCTCCTGGACCAACAACGAGAAACCAGTACTGGCTCCACCACCCGGGGTCATGCGCAATCGGTCCCGGCGCAGCATGCTGCCACTGCATCATGCATGGCATCGCCGACATGCTCTCCACCTCTCAGTCTCTCAACTTCACGCAAGACACTGAGGCACGTGGGAATGTGCAAGATCTTGAACCTTTGGCATGGTTTAGGTTTTGGGGTTTTGGGTATGCAACGACTGGATTTCCCGCAGCTGCTGCTACTTGTTGCTTTACTACTACACACACCGCTTCACTGGCCCCAAGTGCAACTTGCCTGCCTTCTCCAAGAGTTTTCGGAAAGCCTCGCAAAGCGGGGTGATAATCTACAACATATGTGTCTTTTTGAGCTTCTGCACGGGACAGACAGAGACACCTAGCATTATGGTACGGTGCTCTATTCCGTCGAACCGTGACGCACAGCATGCAGCCAGAAGCCTGCACCCTACAAGTGAAGCCTGTATCTTGGGCATCATGTTGACAAAGTCGTCGTACGTGATCCTGCGGGAATGACCCTCAACACACAAAGCCGGGCTGAGCGAATTTTGGATTTCAAGCCCTGCAGCAGGTACATGGGTTGAGGAATCTGTCCCACAAGCATCTGTCCTGTCAACATCCCGAACCTTGGCTCCGGGATCAGGCTTGGATTGCTTCTTGACTTCCCTGAAAAAGCCTTGATAGAAATAGGAATACTGTACTTGCCCTCTTGCTCGTTGCTGGCAAGCGGCCCCAGCGAAGTAAAGCAAGTTCGAGGCAGCCTCCACCTCAGTCCCAGGTTTCTTGCTTTGGGTTTAAGGGCCTTTTTGAGGTCACAGGGTTTAGGATTTAGGGTGAGCTCTAAGACGCTCTCTTTTCCAGCTTTCATGCTCATCGTGTCGGAATAGCAAGCTGAGTTGTAGACACTGGTGGCATAGCCCACATCCGACATGCCTGAGGCCGTAAATGCATCAAGCTTCTTTCAAAAGCACCTCCCAACTTCTATGAAGACTGCCATTCTTCACATCCTGAGGGGTGATGATGCCTTTTTTGGCGAAGACTTTATTGGCACCGTATGGCATCCAGCCTAAAGCTGCAGCACCTGAATGCCAAACGCAAACCCCAACGTGGACCGAAGAAAAAGCTATGGGAAAGCAATTCCTGAATCCTCAAAAGTCACCACATCGACTGCAAAGCGAGAGTGCGCTGTGCCAGCTCGATAGAACCCCAGCTGGTGTCCTGCTTCCCAGGCCAAGATTCACGGCGGGACCCGGGCCCCTTCTCAGCTGCTTCTATTTGTTGTCATCATTATGATGATGAACGGTACTATTATTCGCACTGTTGCCTTTGCTAAGATTATTACTATTAGTATTTAGTCTTATTCTTGTTCTTGTTCTTATAACTCTTACTGTTAGTAGTATTGTGATTGTTAGTCTTGATTATATTCGTATTATCTGTTGATGATATAAACCCTGCATTACCCCTAATATGGAATATACCATAATTTCCATAGTTTAGGGTCCTTAAGGTAATGCAGGATTTGTGTCATCAACCGTTCTTTGCCAGGAACGAGATGGCTTCGAGCTCGAGGTTGGAAATCAAACTTCGCGGCGCGTGAGCGCAAGGTCCCGCCCTGTCCGAATTCTTTTGGACCAACCTGTGGGTCCCCAGTCTACGGATTTCGGGGTCTGATATACGACAGTAACTACAGGTATTGTAACAGGGACCAAGATATACTATAGTAACTATAGGCATTATAACAGGGACCACGATATACTATAGTAGCTGTAGGTATTACAAAAGCAGGGACCACGATATACTGTAGTAACCGTAGGTATCATAACATGGACCACGATATACGATGGTAATTGTCGGTATTATAACAGGGACCACAAGAGGATACGAATAGAAATTAGTTCTAGGGACTCAACCTGATCACAAATCCGCAAGAGCCGGGAACAAGACCAGTCCTTGTCTGCATCGAAGTAGTTGAAGAGCTCCTAGCCATGGGTAGCTTCACTCCAGATGCGTTGGGAACCATGTTGAAAAGCAGAAGCGCATCAGCGGATGTTGCCGTGAAGTAGATCCCTGATGAGAAGCTCCTCTTTTATGTAGGGGCAATTATAACATGGATCCTCCTGCTACGGGCTTTCAAGAGGGGTGAGTGGCATCAGGAGTCCACATGGAGCAAACGCAAGGTCATTCCCGCTCACTCAAAGGATCATGGGACTTTGTAACTCGGGTTATTATTTGGGCAACTATACTTATGATGACTTACAACCCCAATTAAGGTACTTATAACCATCCGTACTAAGTCCCATAATCCACCAAGCAGGCGATCCTCGAACTGGAGCCTCTCCACTTCACTGGCCTTGTCCAGGATCTTTGCTGCCTCTGCGGACGGTGGTTCTTCTGCATGCGAGACAGCATGTGTGTGCGTGTATGCATGTATGTATGAACATATGTATGTCTGTATGTACTTGTATTCTATATATATATATATGTATGTATGCAACTACACCCACAGATGCAGATACGCATGCACATACAACTGCATATACATATATAACTATGTATACACAAACATATACCTATATGCTTCACATATACATGATTATACATGCATAGGTGCATGCATATATATATATGTTAATTTTGTGTGATTATACATACACCAACATGGCTCGCTTCTGCCATCGTCCAACAAGCACTGCCGAAGACCCAAACTCTTCCGGGAATTGGCCTTCTTTCTGACCCTCTCGTCCTTCCGACGTGAGCTTTCGATGTGGCGCTATCGCTTGAAAACTTGAAGGCTTTGCAGGTAGTAGGGCTTTAGGGCTTAGCACATGAGTCTGCATGTTTTTTTGTGCTTTAGGGGCTCTAGCGCGGGCGACGAACTGCAGATGCCCCGGATCTTCTTGCGTCCTCCAACTCGATCTCGCTCTTCTGGAGCTTGCTTGCCTTGCTCTTCTGCTTCTTCTTTTGAGCCTTTTGCAATGCAAAGAAGCTTCAGAGAACATGGGACCCCAAAACATTGGCGGATAAAAAGAAGTTGCCGTCATAAGAGAATCTCCGATAAACGAAACCCCCGTTTGGGCAGCTCTGCAGTAGATCCGAGCCAGCATGGACGCATGGATACGCATGGCCTTGTACTCCTTCGCTACTCTTGTAATCCGCTCGTCCTGGCTACCAGCCTGCACGTCGTCAAGTTCAGAGGCTGACAAGCACTCATAGATCTTCACCGATCCTTTTCGCACATCTGTAGCGAAAACACAAGCAGTTTTGATGTATGGGACATGTCATCAGCACTCAGCCCATGCCATGCTCGTGGCCCACCTCTTTGGGCCTCTCGTCTATGGCACCTGAGTCCAAAGCAAAGTGCAGGGCATTGCAGGGCCCCATATACTACTCTACACTTGTAATGAAAAACCCCCAAAATAGTGTTGGCAATTATTTACAGTAAGGGCAAGTAAGGGCAAGTGTTCTGGGACTGTGGATGGTGGACCTGGCTTTTCGTTTGGGCTCCAATAAGTCGCACGAAAGGAAGCGCTGTCATGTCCGTTGACTACTGTGAGTATGAGAAGCATGCACTACTGGCGATGCCTTTAGAACCAAAAATACCCTAAACTCCCGAACCCTGAACCCCGGCACCGAAGATCCCTAAACTCCTGAACTTCTAAACCCTGAAAGGGCCTCCAGAGGGAGTGTAGATGCCGTTCACACCACGGCGTCCCTCTCGCGTTACCTCCTGAGCAGCTGACAGCGAAGGCTCTTGGGGGTCGATGGCCGAAGTAAGTTAGTATAGGGGCCTGAAAAAGTTAGAACAGGGTTCTATGAGGGGATCTATATCAGGGTTACTGTGAAGGGATCTAAGGGTGCTGTAGTATAGGGGCCTTAACACTTAGAATAGGGTTTTGGTCCCATTATGAAATAATCATAAGAAGGAATCAACAAAATAATCTGTAATTCTTAAGGCCCCTATGTCAGAGGTCTTGATAGATAGAACAGGCTTCGCTAAAGGATTCCGTGAAAGGCTCTGTCTGATGAGTTATATGTTACAGAGGTTCAGGGGCCTTTTAGCGTCGTTTCAATGGTGTAGTTGTATTTGTATACCTCTGTACTCGCATCCCTGAAAGGGACGTATCCATGACGGTGATACATCGACTTGAGCTCACAGTAAGTGTCAGGGGAAACTTTCAAACCATTCCGATGGCTATACTAAAAAAACATAATATTAACATATCTACAAGCAATGAACCGTATAAGTACCGTACACTGAAACCATATTATACTGTACGATACTGTATTTCAACGACGAGAAGGGGATACTATGAAATTCGACTATACTATAACAACATACGAATATTACAACGACAGGAACGGGATACTGTAGCTCCGTGATTATAGATACTATACTATATTATACTTCATAACGACACGAAGGAGGGGATACTATAGCTCCGTGATTATAATTACTATACCATATTTATAGGTTATAACGACACGAAGGGGATACTATGACTCTGCTTGGGTCGACCCGGTTGGCTGCAAGTCGGCCTTGAAGGCTCGCTTCAACTCGGTGTCTTCCAGGAGCACCGACTCCGCTTGCAGCCTGCAGTTGTTTAGGGGTTTTGGGTTGTTTAGGGTTTTTTGGGTTCCGGTATGGGGTTTAGAAGTTTTGGGCTTGGGGTTCAGGGTGTAGGCATAGGGTTAGGGGTTTAGGGCGTAGGTATAGGATTTCGGGTTGCAGGGCTAACGGCTTGAGAACCTGGCACCCGCCCCAGTTAAGCCCCACGCGCTGTCTTCCCGACGACTTCGTTGGGGTCGTAGAGCTGGCAAGGCAGAAGTTGACATGCCAACAGAGCTGAGATCAAGACCATGACTTTCAGACTTCGCTCCCAGAAGAGTCCAGGTCGGCGACATGAATCGGCATTCCAACTCAGACTACCCGGCAGAGGGCCTGAGAGTGTCGGCGATTCGATGGCTTGTTCTTGTCCGCCATGCTTCAGACGACCATGGCACCGGGACGGAGGGACGCGCATAGATGGGAGGCGAAATTGGCTAAGCCTTCCACGGCTTAAGTTGTATGCTGCTTAGGATCCTGGGCTCAGTGAGAGAGAGCGAGAGCGAGAGAGAGCGAGAGAGAGAGAGAGAGAGACAGAGACAGAGAGACAGAGAGACAGAGAGTCTCAGGATCGCGGTTCAGGGGGTCAGGGTCCCTAAACCCTGAACCTTAGGATTACCCAGGCCCGACTGCACAATTAGAATAGGGTTCCTTTAAAAGGGTCTACAAGGAATACTATAAGGGATCTATAAGGGTACTCATTTTTAAAATTTCATGCGCAAGGTGGAGAGACAGAGAGACAGAGAGACAGAGAGACAGAGAGAGAGAGAGAGGGGCGAGCGAGTCGGTGAGCGACCGAGCGATCGAGCGAAAGCTTATGCGAGCGTCAGTGAGTCTCAAGCCCTGCCACTCACCCATGAAACGGAAGGAAGTTGCTAGGTTATTGATTGTTGGTTTTGCTCTTGCTTGCGAACTCTTGAAAGCTATGCTGCACGTGCTCCGAGATTATGCATCAATGAAACTGGACACTGCGGACATGAACGTGCGCCGGCATGTATCCACTGGCTGCATTGGCCCAGCACATCTTCGTGCATGCTCGCATTCCGGGCATCGGAGCCTTTGGCGGGTAGAAGTACCTCAGGCTCGTCCAACATCAGACATGTAACAGATACAGTAGAAGCCCAAAAGTTGGAGACCGGACCAAGGACAAATAGTGCTGGGATTCCCTATGCGTTACTCTTAAGCTGCTTCTACTGAGATTCTACTGTAGTTCAACATGGCCATTGCCGAATTCCGAAAAGCATTTCACAACATCGCTCAGTGCAGCCAGCGAGCCAGCACCGTATCCGTTCTGCCTGTTACTGCGCGAACAATGACCATGAATGGAAAGTCATGCACATACCGAAACGGAGGAGGCCAGCTCATCTAGATTCTAGATGCGAGTATCACAATGCCGCAGCCTCGTCCATGTAGTTTTGCACCACACTGTCCGGCAGAGACCGCAGATATGACAGCAGCCTTGGCAAGTCTGCTGGCACTGCAAGCGAGCGACCCCCTCCGCCTAAAGTCTCAGTATCCTGGACGTGTCCTCTCTTTCTCCAGCCAAGTCACTGCGGCCCAATCTGTGTCGAGGGCCACTTGATCACAAAGCGTGTAACATCCAGGAAATCCTGCAGTGCTTCATTTCAATAAGCTGCAGCAGAGAAAAACTATCAAAGCCAACATCACGGCGACTCACTAAACCGAAGTAGTCCTCGAACGGCAGCTCCCACTTGTCAGAGATCATCACCGGGATGCATCCGGCAAAGATCACCTCCGACGGAGACTGGTCACAACCTGAGCCTGCACAGACTACCCCTTTCGACGGCACCTCGAAGAAGCGGAGCGACCACCCAGACTTGCCTGCAAGCGGCACGCAAGGAGCTGCATGACGGTAGGGGGGGAGAAAGAAAGAACGGGAGAGAGAGAGAGCGAGAGAGAGACAGATATATGCATAAATATGTTTGTGTGCATCGATTGTATAGGGGCTTCTAGCGAAGAGGCTGCCGCGCCTCGCGGGACGAAGCAGAACCGAGAATCTCCATACGCTTCATGCATCACCTGAAGCTTCAGCACTGGGGCTCCTCTACGGTACCGCGGTACCTGCTTTTCCCCTTCCGGGACAATCCGAGAGGGTGGAAGAAGATAATATGGGAGTTTCCGAAATAGGGGACCCCAATATCGTACCTAAAGTAGCAGGATCCTCATTACAAGGACCCCAAAACCAAAATAAGGTACCCCCTAAGTTTCGGAAACTCCCAGAGCAGCCTCCAAGGTAGCGCCATCTCCGAACTTCAGGTCCTCAGTACCTGCGCCACTTGGGCGCACGTGAGGACCATGGCTAGAGAGAGCTGTCTCTGGAAATGACCTACACCCCCCCCACAGGAGGGCTACCTGGCTCAGGCAGTCTTTGGCTTAAGTCTCTTTAGTGTCTGGAGTCTAATATAGGGGCCTTAATAATTAACATCGGGTCCATTATACTGTATTATACTAAGGAACCCCCAACAAGACCCCCCAAAATAGTATTGGGAATTATTTAGGCCTAGGTCCCCCCATGAACTCACAGCTCTGGCTTTTTCCTGCCGAGGCGATGCTTCGAAATCCGGCGAACGGTGATAGCAAAGACATCCAAGGCTGTTCTGAACGGTTCAGGGTATCTGGGTCTGGGTTAGGGGCCTTAGGGCTCCGGGTAGGTATTCGAATGATTCAGGGTCTTAGGGTTTAGGGGTCTTATTGTAGTTTAGGGTAGGTATTCGAACAATTCAGGGTCCTAGGGTTGAGGGCCTGTTTGACAGTATACGTGTTTCACTGCACTCAAGGTGGCTACCCTCGTACTTCTCAGAGGAGCTCCCTGGGATGTAGGGGATCTTTAAGGGGGCGTCTATAAGGGTTCTATAAGGGCTCTACTAGGAGGTTCATGGGTAGTTATGGTTAGGAAACCCGATGTCAGAACAACCCGCACTAGAACTCTGGCAGCTCCAAAGGCGCGAGCTGCAGACCTGAGCCACGGCACGTGTGCGCTTACCCTTTGGCCGACCATGATAACCTACAGGAACCTACCTCCTTGATAGGATCTTACGAAAACAAAATCAGAAAAGTTGGGCTTCGTCGGATAGGATAGTCTGGCAGTAGTATGTTCTGCTCTACTCCCCCACCTTAGCATGCGGCACTTAGCTCATGTTCTGGTTTGCTTGTGTTCGTACATCACTGTCCCCGATGAGAGCAGGATGATACAGGACTGCTGAACTTCCGATGGCTGTATATAACTACTACTACTACTACTACTACTACTACTACTACTACTACTACTACTACTACTACTACTACTACTACTGCAGTATTCTGTTGCTAGACTTTGCAAGTATGCCATTCTGCCAGGGTTGCTCTCTCCGTTGCAGCGTGTTGTGGGCCTCTTGTCTCGCTTGCTCATAATCTTGTGCTGCTCTGCCTGCGCTGCCTTAGCTGCCAAGATACTACTAACCCTTAGTACTGCTGATGGACAAAATCCTGCATTACCCATTATGAGGCATATGCCATAGTTCCCCTAGTTTAGAGTCCTTAGGGTCATGCATGGTCATGCAGGATTTTGTCCATCAACAGTAGTATCTTTTACTTTGCTTGCTTGAAGTGTTGGCTTGAAGACCCATAAACCTCTCGTCAGCTATGACTACGAAATGATCCAGAGCTTCTGAGGTCCGGGCGCCACCATAGTCCAGGCCTCACCACAAAAGGTCTTGAGTCTGGCAAATCATAAAGTAATTTGCTATGATTCTTGTATATACCTATTATATATGCATATATACATAAATACATATATACATATATGTATGTGTGTGTATGGTTACTATTGCGATGAGTATTTCTAAACCATTAATCGTAATATTATTTTCTGGAGTCAGTTGATAGTATACAGCTACATAGCGAGGAAGCAGTCTGGCGGCGAATTACGGGGAGCCTGTTGGGTTCGCCAAGACTTCCGCCAAGTTGTGTGGCTGGCAGCGGAGCCGGCAAGCACCACATCGATGTAAGGCCACGATTCGTGTACATATTAAGAAATACTGCGAAATACGCATAATCGTCAGAACAATAACAGTGATGTCTAAATCTCCTATGCGTGCTCCGTTGGCCAAGACAGATCACAACATAGCAATTCTGGTGGTTGGTAATGTCAGTAAGATCACCAACAAATATCACAATAGTCGGACTATAGTAACTGTGACAAGTATCAACATGCGAATACCCACTACCAGTATCCTCTGACGTGTTCACAGGTTCTGCATTCTTGCCGTTTCTACCGGCCGCCTAGAGATAGCACCCAGAGGCCCTGGCAATCCAGGCGATGGTGAGAAGCCGTGCGATGAGAGCGTCTCCTCAAGAAACTGACCCTGCTAGCATGTACGGGTACTCACTCTGGCTAATTACCGTGGCTTTGGAGATCGTCCGCGCTGGCTCTGATTAGGGACAGCGGGAAACGGACAGAGTGGCGAAGCGAGACAGGGAGGGGGACAGGAAAGGGAGAGCGAGAGGAAGAGAGGGGAGAGGAAGAGGGAGGTCATACAAAGGACAGGGCCGTAACAAGCATGACGAAGGGCTAAGAGGCTGACCTGCGCGGTCGGCGTCGCTGCAGGGCGAGCAAAGCTGAACCTGGCCAAGTGCATACATACAGACATACACAAGTACATAACTGTCATTATTATCCACAACACTGCATGGCTGGCCCAAGGCAGCCTAGACCACCCAGAATCCAGAAGCCCCAATGCACCAGTGAGTCGGACGAGTGCCTGCAACCCGTAGATCAAATATAGTGCTAGACACGGACAAGACGGAGCCATAGGATGAGCCCACCTCAATCTGGCTGCGCAGGCGGCTGATCCCACCTGGTGCCTGGACAGACTTGCATTTGGCATGTGGCCTGCTTGTAGTCTGATGAGGAATGGGTTTGCAACTTTTGCCGTTCGGGAAAGACAAATGTGGTATAGCATCAGCATGACATGTGGCTTTGGTGAGTCAACATCCGCCGCCGTCATGATGGCATGCTGTTGATTGGTGTCGTTCCTTCCAGTCTTATCGCCACTGAATCTAGATGTGACCACTACATTACATGCTGCTGCCCGGAAATGGGTGGTGGCCGCGGGCCACGGGTCGAGCACAAATAATACCATCGTGAAACAGGTAGCTGAGCTGCTCTGATGCATCGGTCATGTCTGATTTAAGGGCATGGTAGCTTTCTTTGTGTTGTTTACAGCTGTGAATACAACATTCTGCAGAGGACCCTGTTTGGAGAAAACTTCCTTTGTATTCCCTTGTCTTGCCTAGAGTCTCACATGCGTCCCGGGAGCAGGCAGAGAAACTTCTCGATCTGCTTTTCCAGCTCCTTCCGCCTTGGCGAATTTGGGCTGATTAGCCGTTAAGTTTCGACTCGTGCAGATCTCGAAGCTGCCCCCCACCATCCGAGGCCCAACACCCAAACCCCAAGGCCAAACTCTCTAAAACTCTAAACACAGACTAACCCCCTTAACCCTGATCCCCAACCCCGAAACCCAACAGCCCAAATCCCGAAAACCGAATGCCCTAAACCCCTAAACCCTTGAAAAAAAAAACAAGCCCCTAAACTGCAGCCACGCTGCGAAGCGCTGCCCTCTGCCCAGAGCTCTCGCCGAGCTCTCTCGAGCAAGCGCTCTGCCTGGTTTTGAGTTTCGGTTTAGGGTTTTCGGGTTTAGGGGTTTAGGGATTAGGGGTTGAGGGTTTAGGGGTTCAGGGTTTAGGGGGGTAAAGTTTACGGTCTAGGGTAGAGAAGAAGCTTGAAAGGTTCCTTTTGGGATCTATGTGGGAGCTCCTCCAAGGATCCCTTCAAGGATTTCGTTAAAGCTTTTTTGGGATTTTTTGGAGGTTCCTTTGAGCATCCTTTAAGGCTTCCTTTGGAATCTGTTGGGCGGTTCCTTCAAAAATCCCTTTAAGAGTTCCTCTTATGATCTTCTTTAGGGTTCCTTCAAGGGTTCCACAACGGTTCTGCAAGGTTTTTGTTGTATAGCCGTAGCAGCTCCTAGGCTTCAGATGCAATGATGGAACAGAATGGGATAGAATCGAACAGAAGGACGGCATAACGTAACACAAGTAGAGTATGATGCAATATTATCTGGTATTATGTAAATCACAATATAATAGAACAGAATAGAACAAAATCGAATAGAAAAGAATAGGATATAATATAGCAATACATGGCGCACGATAGTACAGGATAAAACACATAGTACAACATCATGCAAGATGATATCAGGTAGCGCAAGATCAAAAAAGAAAACAAGGATCGTACAAGATAGCATTCACTGAAACATAATGCAGCCTGAAAATGTACAACCTACACAAGAATCAGTATCACTGGTAGAACGGTATAATACCATTCATATTACCATCAAGTAGTGTAAAACAAACAGAATGCAGTATAATACAATGTAACATGAAAGAATCTGACGAAATGCAACATAACATGGTAGATTACAATATAGTGACACAATGTACCCGCATGTCCTAATATAGCTGTACGTGAAGACTATCAGAATAAGAACGACATGAATACTGCAGACTTACTACAAGAGCAATACCAAAAACACACACACACACACACACACAGACACACCCTCGAACCAAATGGCCTCGCGCTCACGCAGGTGGAGTCCGCTTTGATCCGGAGGGAGCGACCAGAACCTGTAGCTTTCTCTAAGTTTCTGCCCGGTTACGTCGTAATGCGAAAGCAAAGCAGTGATGTAGCTCGGTGTGGCATGTTTTCTTGAGTCCTTGGATGGGCGCGAGTCGGGCCTTCTGTTGTAATCGATCTTTATAGCCTAGTCGGAGAAGATGGAGGCTTGAGGGTGAGGCTCCAAGACACTGCATCTAGCTGCTTGTTTGGAGACAGGCCACAATGATGCCTGTCTTCCGGCGTGGTGCAGCTGACGACTCAAGAGATGTGCGCTCAGCATCATCATCACGATGATCCACCCCAGGTCACCATCACGATCCGCATCAAGTACCATCATCAGCGGCAGCAGATCCGAAGGCAGCATCATCGCCACAAGTGAGGACGGCCGCCGACCCAACTCAGCCTCTGAACACAAGAAGCTCTGAGTGGCTGACCCCCGTTGCAGGGATGTGGTGATGTCCTGAAGAAGACTGTGACCCAACAAGGGTGGCCGTGCAAAACATGACCCCACTTTGGGCACCACTTTTGATATCGAATTCTGTGGAAGTATGCAGGCGACCCTTTCACAATGCCGGAGGAGAGGTACCTGTTCCGAGATCTGCCGGCTGCTGGTGTGGCGAGCGAGCACCTGTCGGGGATGCTGGTTTCTTGTCTAGGACCCCAGCGTTTGGTTTAAAGTATTGCAGGGTCATCCCAGTACCCCATGCAAAGGACTCTCCCATTCCATAGACGTCCGAAGACCTGGCGCACGCCGAGTTTCCAGCTGTGAGTCTGACGCCGGCCAAGAACGGATTCGAGCCCCAAGGCAGCACAGGCGAAGCCTATGCTCCGCCACGGCACAACACCCACGCTGTTAGTCAGAGTAGAGCTAGGATACCGTGAGCAACATGAGAACTATTTGCGGTAGGAGGAACCGTGTCGTCGTCGCAGTTGCGGCAGGAGTCAGGCTCGTCGTGGTCATCGTGATCGTTATTTTTTAAGTGGTCGTAGATCGTAGTCGTTCAGTCATCGTACTCGTCGTGGTTGCTGTCGTAGTCGCGGGAGCAGTCGTCGTCGAAGTACTTTTCGTCGTCGTACACGGTACTCGTAGTAACAGTCTACACCGACGCAGCCCACCCCGCCGCTAACCGCTACGTTGTTGTTGTCAGCGTCGCCGTGCTGAAGTGGCCGCGCTGGTGGTGGAAGTAGCATCGTAATGATCATCGTTGACGTAGCAGAGCTCTTCCGATGAACATCCATTTACAGACAGACAGCAACCCAATCTGCGCCTCACGAAGCTCTGACGCCGCGACCCTCAGCGATGGGCCTCCACAACTGGACAAATTGCAAGACCAGTGAAGGATACAAACCAACTGACTGCCTCCGGCGCATTGTCCTCGCCTCAAATGAATCATGCAGCTCATCGCACATATCAGTGTCATGCCCAATCGCAACAAAATCCATGAAAGCGATGGGTGTGTTCAGTGCACTAGTACCCAACACGATCATCAACATCATGCTTGAACAGCTGCAACATGCTGCAAGTATATCAGTCTGTGATCTTTCGACATCATCATTCCTGCCAGGCGTGGGCATTCAAGCCTCCTCCTCCTCCTTCTCCTCATCCAAATCATCCTCTATACTATTTTTTGGGGGGGAGTTCCTTATCATAAATATGGTATAATGGGCCCCGAAATCATCATCACCATCCTCCTCGTCCTCGTCATCATCACACCTCCGGCACACTCAACTCTAACTCCGCCGGAGCACAGAATCATTGGCAGCAAGGCGTACGCGTCACTCCTGGAGTCCAGCAACTGAGCCTCAGCTACGCAAGACACACAAAGGGATACGTATAGAATCATATCTGCATTACTTTTATCATATTATGCTATACTGTTATACTGTAGCATAGCATGGTATAGCGGAGTGTGGCAAAGTATATAAACATGGGTTCCCTTTTGCCATATCATGTTATGTCGTATCATCTCATGTCACATCATGATATCATATAACGTAATAATTTGTCATGTTTCTCATCAAGAAACATATCCAGCAATCATAAGACAATGACAAAACTGAGTCAGCTAACCCCAAGAATACACACAACCGCGATCCACAGACTAAGACTTGGCTTCCGAGGGCACGGCAATCACTGAGACGAGGCCCCGCGTGCCTGGAGAGAAGCTTTGACACACTCTCCCGGGTTTAGGGTTTAGGGCTTGTACTTCGCATAAGTAGTCCGATTCGGCATCGAGAGTGTGAGTATGCTGTGCCTGCCGCACTGTCCCCAAGCTGCAAGACCTGTCCAGCTTCCGCTATGGTTGCGACACCTCGGCGCCAGCAAAGCATAGTTTTTCCAGAGTTCCTGTCTTACGAGCAGAGCATAGCCCGCGGCGGTCGTTGACCAACACCTCAGCTTGGCATGCGATTCACATGATCCCCAAACACGAGCTGATGACCGGGCCACGGACCTGCAAGCGCCTGGGCTGTTCGGTGTCGGAAGCCTGGTGCATCAATTCCACTCGGGCCACCACTTACCAAAGCCTTCGCTGTGCTGGCAGCCTCCAGCAAGGCGTCGAGAGAGCGCGCGATCCGGTCTTTGCGACCAGAGAAGAAGTCAGTCGCGCTGTACCTGCCAGGTACTCTCGGTCTGTCTGCCTGCCCGTCCGTCCGTCTGTCTCTCGGTCGCTCTGTGTGTCCATCTGTGCATACGTGCTCATAAGTATGCATGCATGCACGGATTGTCAGAACGCAGGGAAAAGAGATATTCCAGCAAGGCATGTTGCAGTGTAAATGTGATGCTGCCATGTGCGCGTGTGCATCAGTAGGACCCCAAAACTAAAGTACCCGTACAAGAACCCCCCCTACATTCAATATCATGTCTCTGCGGTTAGGTACAGTAAAAGGTCCAAGGAGGGCACTTGCCACCTCGTGCTTGCTCCACAGAGCGAAGCCCTGACTGGTCCTGCACGTGGTAGAGACCTGACTGGGCGCCCATGAAGTGCTGCATACGTGCTATGTGTGTATATATATATACCCACACGCAGGAACACAAACTTTTTATCTTGGGTCTCAAAACGAAAAGTCACAACATGTACAGAGTCGGGAAAGGGGCAAAAGTGAAGATGAAATTTGCATCCTGCGAGAAATGCCTGCAATCGAGGCATCTCAAAGACGCACGAACCCGTCAGGGCCAAACGAAGCCTTAATCACTCGAGCAATTCGTGCAATCTCAGCCCAGCCCGAGGCCTGAACAATTAGACTAGGGTTTTGTGGCCCGTTATACTATAAAGATACTAAGGAACCCCGAAAATAATGTAGGTAATTATTATAGCCCCTATATTAATATTATTAGTCGTCCGTGACCTGGCTGTCCGTAGAGGTCGAGCAATCCAAATCCCGGCATGAGCTCGACCGTCACGACACCGCCCTGGTAGCGAGGGAGCACTCTACTGAAGGATGCTGATTCCGTGGTGCGCTAGGACCCGCTATGTAGGAGCTTTGACGAAAAATGCGCCGCTGAGGTACGTGTAGCAGAAAGCATGGCCTCAACCGCATCGGGCGGGCAAAGATCGGCAACGCGAAGACAAGCTACCTGGCACAGCAGGAGAAGATCAAACAAGCCCTGATGCAAGCGGCTGCACCGAAACATTCAAAAGAAGAGCGACGCTGGGCCGCTGGTGTGTGCAACTCATCGGAGAAATCGAAAAACTAGGCTCCTTTGTTGCCTGTGCCTCTTGCCTTGTCGCACAGGCTTGAAACCATCCGCACGCATCATCAGAGCAGCGCGCTAGGGGCCGGGGCCCAAAACCACAAGATTCCTCTAAGCTGGTGCCTCGCTGCTGCCCTTGACACCGAGCGAGGTGGCCTCGGCAGAGTCCATATGTACATACACATAGATGTATGTATGTATGTATGTATATATACACACACATACACAAATTGTATACACGCACATTGGCATAAGGGGTTATGTATGCATGTAGTAAAAGTATCTATATATATATATACACAAAGACATATACATATATACACACATGTGTATGTATACGTAAGGTACATATATACCAGGCAGCGAAGTAGCCAAGTCCGAGTCTTAGCATGGAAACAAGAGGCATCGGGCATGGGGAATGCTTCTGCATGCTTCCTGCGCCTTCTAGCTGCCACGGAAGCGACGGCCTATGGATCGGGCTTTTGGTCTTGTGTTTCTTCTGCTCATCATGAACAGAGGGGGAGGTGCAAGACAAGGAGGAGGAGGAGGAGGAGGAGGAGGAGGAGGATTAGGAGGATTAGGAGGCGAGGGCATCGTGGCGAAGAAGGACGAAAACGGGGTAGATCCAGCAGAGTGGGCGGCCGGCTACGCAGTAAGTAAGCAACGAGCGCTGTTGCTTTGCAGCCGTATCACCTGACACGAAGCCCAAGATCTGCTATCAACTTGGAAGTGTTTGCAAGGCTTCGCTTCAACCTGTGTGCGACCTCGAGACTCTGGGGAGCTTTCAAGCGGAGCCTAGCCTCTGAGGCTTTCTGGTCATTGCTATTCAGAAAAGTGCTTATACGTCCATCTGCAGACGGACGAGTGCCTCACAGTCAGCGGCGAAGCGGCCAGCGATGCTGTCAAGCAAGTTTGGCTGCGACCCCCGGCCTAGATTGCGCCCTGTCAGAAGCGTTGCTCTGAACCAGGACAGGTCTCCCTCCCCTCTCTGTTTCGAAAGCTCGTGAGAACCCGAATGTGCCGGAACCTGGCGGTCGCAGCTCTATCCACGGCAGCCATGTAGTAGCTGCCGCCGCCTCTTGCATCGCCGCTGTCCAAGATGAACGCTGACTACGCAGTTTACAGCGAGCGAGGCATTCAGAATGCGAAGGCTCCACGACACCGGTAAGCCGAAGAAAGCCTCCCAAAACCTCCACTGACAACTGTCGGAAGAAAGCATGAAACCTCGTAGTTAGGACTCTGGAAGAATTTTTCCCCAAACCAACTTGACCCCAAGCCTAAGGCCCATGCGCAGGTGGAGCGTCTTCTCCTGCCACTGCGGCAAGTCGCCTTCCAGGAGCGACAGCTTCTATCTATCTTTCTTTCTTTTTTTCTCTCTCTCTCTCTCTCTCTCTCTCTCTCTCTCTCTCTCTCTCTCTCTCTCTCTCTCTCTCTCTCTCTGTATATATATATATATATTTATAGGTAGATATGTAAACACCTATATGTAGTAGTAGCTTTCATGGGACGACTTGGCTTCGGCAGAAAACGTTTCACCTAAGTGGGACGGCTCAGGTCTGGCACCGTGTAGGTATATATGTCATGCATGTGGTTAGTAAGCATACTGTATTTCAACCACTGTACTTTCAGCACCGTGCAGTGCGTTGGCATCACATTGGGTGATAGCTTTAAGCTACGAACTCTACGAATGTTCGTGCATGATAAGATGTAGTCCTCTTTTGCATTCCAGGTGTTACAAGTGCATGCGTGTACATGCATGTCTGTATGCATGATGCATGCACTTATGTATATGTATATGCCTATGTATACGCATATGTGCATGTATATGTATATGTATATGTAAATGCATATGCATACGCATATGTATGTGTGTGTATGTATATTTATATCTATATATATATATATATACACATGTGTATGTGTGTGTGCATGCATGTACTTATGTCTCTATGCATCTATCCATGGATCGCTCTATCTATCCATCCATCCGTTTATTCATCGATCTGTCCATCGATATCTCTCTGTCTATCTATCCCTCTATCCCTCAATCTCTCTATCTACCTCTAACTGTTTATCCATCTGACTATCCATCTGCCTGTCCGTCTGTCTGCCTGCCTGTCTGCCTGCCTGCCTGTCTCGCTGTCTCTCTGTCTCTTGTCGCTCTGTCTCTGCTTTGATTTTGGGGTGAAGGCCCAAAGCAACCCTCACGCCCCGCGCTCACGTGCAACCCCATCTATCAGATGGGAGTTTCCGAAAATAGGGGACCCTGATCTAGTACCCTAAATAGTAGGATGCTTGTTCTAAGGATCCCCAAAATAAGGTACCCCTACTTTTCGGAAAACCTAAACCCTATAGAGCCCTATAAAGGAACCCTTATAGTACCCTTATAGTAACCCTTTAAAGGAACCCTTATAGTACCCTTATAGTAACCCTTTCAAGGAACCCTAAGGTACCCCCAATTTTCGGAAACCCCCAGATTGATCGGATGGGCTCGGCTCTGCAAGGCTTCTGCCAGCTCTGTCTCTCTGCCCCTGTGCTTCTCTAGGGCTATTACTAAGGTAACTATACTTACAATTACTGTCTCACTTGTTAGCGCTTCAAGCTTCACGGGATCGCGGCCGTGGCACATCTCTGATGCATGTCCATGTGATGTCCAATGAGTGAGCGCTTCATGCCACAGACTGCTTCACGTGCGGTGTCGAAACGATGACCGGCAGAAGGAAACATCATCGGGAACCATATTATGGGTGCTGCAGCAACAGCAATTAAGGTACTTATAACCATACTTACTAAGTCCTATGACTTACCTTTGGTTAGTAAGGAATGGAGAAACGGGGTAGAATTACAACTACTATTGCTACCATTCTTCCATTCCCTACTAACCAAAGGTAAGGCTCTATGTCTTCCGGTCTCGCTGTCTCTGTGTCTATCCACCTGTGTTTCTGTCTATACCTGCTTACCTACCTACCTACATACCTGGCTGTCTGTTAACTAGCGAGCCAGCTAGCTACCGAACGAACGAACGAACGACTGAACTAAGTTGCATGTATGGATGCATTAGTATGGATGCATGGAAGCATGGATGCATAAATGTATGGATGTATGTGTTTATGTACACACACACAGAAACACCTCTTCAACTGCGTATATTATCTAGTACGCATATATCCCACATCAAACAACGTAAAGTTTAACTCTCCTTGCTGCATTTGGGCTCAGCTTGCACGCTGCGACACGCCTTCGCAGGCCCAGGTGGAGGATCCTGCCTAACACGGAAGCGAAGCCAGACAGGAACGCAGGGGGAGAGTTGCGGCTTGCTTCTGCTTTTCGTGAACATATGGGAGTTTCCGAAAATAGGGGACCCTAAGATAGTACCCTAAATAGTAGGATCCTAACTATAAGGGCCCCCATATAAGGTACCCCTGATTTTCGGAAACTCCCATATAGGCCACTCCTCTGTACCCGACACCTTTAGAGACAGGATTGCAAGCTCCGAAGCCGAGGAGGCACTAGAAGCTGGGCATAGACCTGCCAATGCTCCTAAGTTACACACAGAGATCCGTACTACCGCAGGACAAAAGTTCGCCACACGACCTGTAAAGTAGCATGTCAAGTACTGACACTGGCCACGCCAAATGGCCCTCTCGGCTTTTCCAATTTCCGCGCCACATGCGAATGCTAAAGAAGAGTATCGCGACTTAGGGTTCGGGACTTTTGGGTTCGGCAAGCGGCCCACGCCTCAGCTGATCTGCGTGGCTTCTAGATGTTGACTGATCACCCGTGTGAACATGCCCAAGATCCCTAGGGGAGGAAGCTCCTATCTCCCCTGATTCTCGTATTCTAGTATACAATGCTATACGGCAGAATACTATATTATACTGTGCTATATGATAACACATTATGCTATGTTATGTTGCATTAGGCAACATTATCGTATTATATTATAAGATATTCTACGTTACCATGCTATATTACCGCCAAAAGCCGTGCCTGCGCGCTTAGTCTTGGCAGCCTGGCGAAAGACCCAGGCCTTCAGGGTGCCGTGAGCTTGAGGTTTGGGGTGTGGGCTGTTTCGCTCGATTTTGATATCTCCGGCCCCGGCGGGAAGCTCTCCCTGGCCGGATGCATTGCTTGCCTGGCCACACGGTTTAGGCTTTAGGGTTTAGGCACGAAGTCACTGAAACAAAAGTGGAAGCTCTTTCAAGGGTAACGATGTATGAGATTGGATGAGCAATCATGGGCTGGCATCCGAGCAAAGCGTCAAAGACACATCCAGCCTCTCTGACTTGAGAAGGTACCTGAAGCTCATGTACTCCGACTCTGAGCTCGATTTCTCGAGCAGCTGCTTTCCGCTGGGCTTCCGACCACGAGCCATAGCCGACGCCCACCAAGCTACAGGCAATGGCCATCGTGCAGCCCAGTGATGCCTCAAACGGACCGCACTTCGGTTCTCCAAAGCACAATCCTCCCCCATATGTGTAGCACCTCTAGCCGAACGCGAACCACCCCCATGCAAAGCGAACAGCATGATACCAATACCTGCTCCGACCACCCCGACTTGCGGGAAGTGAGAACAAGGAACGGTATTGCCATCACATATTGCACCTCGGCGACAGCATCCGTGCCATCCACCCAGTCGCCTGAGTCCTCAGACGACAACAGACATTCACATCACCAACAGTTGTCTTGAAAAGTGGTGTAACAGCTCGTAGTTGCAGCAGTGAGTTCCCAATTTCTGTTGCTGTGCCGCAGCCACTCAACGTTTGGGCGAGGCTGCCAACCGCTTATGTCGCTGCAGGCAAAGGGCGGGTGCAGAACAGCTGCGCTGCGGCACACCTGACGCAGCGCCCGGACCAGTTGTTTGACAAACACGGTGATCCAGGGCTTGTAGATTCAAGCTACCCAGACCAAACTTTGCAGCACAGCCCTTCTGGCATCATGTATCCGTATGTTTGTGAGAACAGTAAGGCAGCTTTGCAAAGGTCTCCGAATGGACTTTCAAGTGTGAGACCCGATTGCTAAAGTCCTGATCTTGCACCAACTCGTGCAGTCTCAACGGTCCGGTGCGAGATATTCTTGGCGGATGGATGCGTGGTGTACGTCAACACTCGGCTAATGTCAGCATGCACTGGACGCTTCAGGGTGGGAAATGCGGAAATCTCACGATGTGGCAGTTCCACTAGCATTAACTGACAGCATGCTATAGTGACTTAGTGTAAATGCCGGTGTTGCATTTAGACATGACTCCTGTTGCCTACCTGAGATCGCAAGATGGCGCAAGTCGATGAAGGAGCCTGACAAGCCCCGGAGACGTTGCGCTGCGATCCCTCGCCCACATAGACGCAGCTGCCGCAACATGGCGGACATGGCTCCAATCAAGGTCAGCTAATCTCTAAGTCTCGAAGTGCTGGCTGTTGCAATGGCTCTGTGGGTAACTTATGCATTCAGGAGGAGACTCAAGGCAAGAGCCAGCATTGCATCTTGGATCCTGAGTGATGCAATTGAAACGCCAAGGAGACCATGTGTCTTGAAACAGACACCTGCAAGATGTCTTGGGACAGCTGTTCTTTACTGGCTACACTAACAGAGTAGACTTCGTCGTACCTGTCGTGGCCCGGAGCAAACAGAACCTTTGGGATTTTGTCAGTTATGGACCGGGACGTGTCGTAGACAAAGCCGTGGCCCAGACTTCAAGAGCCTCACGGCGACGTCGAATCGTTGAGAGTTTAGGGTGTTCGAGTCTTTTTCGAAGTTTTCGGGTCCAGGGCTTCGGGTTTCAATGGTCTCTACAGCATAATCTCTGCATCAGCCCCTGCGTGCCGCTGCAGGGGCGCCTGGCAGCTCCTGGAGAGCTATCAGCTCCTCACAGCAACCGAAGGTTTTGGGGCTTAGCGCTGAGGGCTTTGGCGGTTTAGGAGTAAGGCGAAGTCGGGGCGCATGAGTCAATCCTCTGAAGTTGATTCAGGGCTGTCTCTCTGACTCTCCTCCTGGGACTGAGCCCTTCCGTTCTCATCTTGCGGCGACAAACCCCTCAGCCCTGAAGCGTGCAAGCTCGCCCTTCCAAGGCCCCAATGGGCGCCTAAGACGCGGGGAGCTCCTTGCGGACATCCACGCCGCCCACCCAAGGGTGGGGCCCACGAGCCTTAGGGGAAGAAGTCGTCGGCACCGAAAGAGCTCAAAGTTGTGACTGATATCAGAATAAGGTTTACAAGGGCTTAGGGTGTGCTCTTGTGATGCCACATGACGACTTAGGTTGCAGGTCTTCAGAGACATGGGCAGTTGCCACAGGCATGACCCCATGGGTTGGATGGGAACCCTGCAGAGCACCGGTTCTGCCACTGCAACCCCTGTTTCTGATGCAAGCCACCAGCAGACCTTCGTTGCTGAACACAGATCCCTTTGATACAAGTGGCGACTATTCAATTTTTCGCGCCCGTCACAACCTCGCTCTTGAGCTTCGGGTTGAGACTTCGTGCTGCCGATCTTCTCAGTAATCCCAAACCCCACAGCCACTGGGTCACTGGCAATGTCGGCACGGCCGAAAAAGGCCGTGAGGTAGCGCCGCTCTTGCAGGGGTTTCGACTTCTCGAGGGCCTTGATCACCTTTCACCCCCACTTGGGTGTGTGCAGGACGGCCAAGTGACGATCATGACTGTGAGTTCTGGGGGTTGTACATTGGTATGTAGAAACACAAGCTACAGGTAGATGACGCAGGGCATCCCCAATTTCTGTATACACTCCTGAACGGAGGCAACACGAACAGGATGTAACATCCAAATGATATCCTGAAGTTCCTCACAACGCAGAACGACGACGTGCACATGGACAAGTCGGAACTTCCGTGTGGGAACATGCAAAAAACAGCAAGATTGTGATTTGAAGCGTTGGCGAATTTTCAGACACGGTGCAAATGCCACAGGGGCAGCAGCAACAAGAAGCCCAGAAACAAAATACCGTGTCCGTGCTTTCCTAAGTGAAGGCTAGCTCTTGCTCAGATTTCCCTCCTCACCAGCTGGTATGGTTGTGCGGCTCTCTGCTGTGTTGATCGGGTCGTCATTCAACTACTGTCAATGCTTGCTGGCCAAGCTAAACTAATGTTGCCAACATCCGGCACTAGCCTGTCATTTTCAAAGTTGAACTAGTAGAGCCCCCACATACAAAGACGTGGCTCTAGTTTGCCAATGCTGACTTTTCAGGACATCTCAACGATTTCGCGCCTCGATCAAGTCCAAACTCCCCGGGATCACAACATCCTGCGACGGGTTCGACGGATGCTGGTACATCGAGAAACACGCAAGGTAATGTAGGAACCTGATTAAGAAACTCTGGGCCTTTATAAGGGCTCCTTATGTGAACCCTACTATTTTGGGGTTATAGGCCCAGGGTTTCTGAATCAGGTTCCTACACGCAGACCCGGCCTTGAAAGGTCTGTAAGGTGGTATGGCAACCCAAGCGAAATCGTTGAAGAGCTCTGTCTCGGGCGTGAGCACGATAGCCTGTGTACACAGTCGTGATGCTTGCCACTGCGCTATACCGATGTGCCAACACAGGGGCCTCAATAAATTCAATACGGTTTAGGGTTTGGGGCCTAGTTATACTATATGCTTAATAAGGAACCCCGGAATAGCATAGGTAACTATCTTTACCTTGGGCGCCAGCCTGTGGAATGTACTCCTCCCAGGACTGGAACACACTCCTCAGCCGCACGGACCCATTTTTGCACGGTCGGAACTTCGCATCTTTGGGGAGCAGATATGGAAGTAATTATTCGTTGCAAGATATTGTAGTATATATACGATTGTAAACGAATAAATACATATATATATATATATATATAAACATATTCTAGTAACATTAGATATATGATATGTAAGCCTTCTTTCAAGGTTTGGACTCAGGGGCCAGGCCGCGTGGCATGTGCAGGCGACAACTAGGCTCGTTGCTCATATGCGACAACACACTCCGCAGTTGAACAAACGCAAGATGGACCGAAAACCCTGCAGGTGAACCTCACATCAGGTCTGCACTTCGAAGAATTCGGGGTGCAGCAAACAACAAACACAGGCATATCCCGAATCATAGAAATAGGAAAACTGATCTTGCAGGCATCGATGCTCCACAAAACGAAATACGTATCGCCTTTCTTCCACAAATCTTCAGATCCAACAACTGAACTCCAAGGAAGGTAGCTGAACATCCCTTCCTGCGGCTCAGGAAGCTGTCTTAATGAGCTCCGGTGTCCAACAGAACTGCTCAGAGGGTGCAAATGGTGCCATTGCCCTGTGTCCGAACACCTGTAAAGCCTCCAGTCACCGCGATGACGAATGCCACCCGGCTCGTTTTGGCTCCAAGCCCCCGGAACACAGGACTGCAAATATTGATCTTCGAGGCATCACGGCAGCATTTGTCTCAAGACTCCGGCCAACCAACGAACAGCAACAGTGTCTCGACAGAGCATGCAACGCGAGGCACGTGTTCAAACTGAACTCCAAGCAAGGTAGCTGAACATCCCTTCATGCGCCTGTCTGCATGTGCTCGGGCATCCAACAGAACTGCTCAGAGAGTGCAAATGGTGCCATTGCCCTGTGTCCGAACACCTGGAAAGCCTCCAGTCACCACGATGACGAACGCCATCCGGCTCGTTTTGGCTCCAAGCCCCCAGAACACAGGACTGCAAATATTGATCTTCGAGGCATCACGGCAGCATCTGTCTCAAGAGTCAGGCCAACAAACGAACAGCAGCAGTGTCTCAACAGAGCATGCAACGCGAGGCATATTTGCAAGGTAGCTGAAAATCACTTCATGCTGCTCAAACAACTGTCCAAATGTGCTCGGGTGTACAACAGAACTGCTCAGAGAGTGCAAATGGTGCCATTGCCCTGTGTCCGAACACCTGAAAAGCCTCCAGTCACCGCGATGACGAATGCCATCCGGCTCGTTTTGGCTTCAAGCCCCCGGAACACAGGACTGCAAATATTGATCTTCGAGGCATCACGGCAGCATCTGTCTCAAGGCTCAGGGCAACAAACGACCAGCAACAGTGTCTTGAGAGAGCATGCAACGCGAGGCACGTGTTCAAACTGAACTCCAAGCAAGGTAGCTGAACATCCCTTCATGCGCCTGTCTGCATGTGCTCGGGCGTCCAACAGAACTGCTCAGAGAGTGCAAATGGTGCCATTGCCCTGTGTCCGAACACCTGGAAAGCCTCCAGTCACCGCGATGACGAACGCCATCAGGCTCGTTTTGGCTCCAAGCCCCCGGAACACAGGACTGCAAATATTGATCTTCGAGGCATCACGGCAGCATTTGTCTAAAGACCCCGGCCAACGAACGAACAGCAACAGTGTCTCGACAGAGCATGCAACGCGAGGCACGTGTTCAAACTGAACTCCAAGCAAGGTAGCTGAACATCCCTTCATGCGCCTGTCTGCATGTGCTCGGGCGTCCAACAGAACTGCTCAGAGAGTGCAAATGGTGCCATTGCCCTGTGTCCGAACACCTGGAAAGCCTCCAGTCACCACGATGACGAACGCCATCCGGCTCGTTTTGGCTCCAAGCCCCCAGAACACAGGACTGCAAATATTGATCTTCGAGGCATCACGGCAGCATCTGTCTCAAGGCTCAGGGCAACAAACGACCAGCAACAGTGTCTTGAGAGAGCATGCAACGCGAGGCACGTGTTCAAACTGAACTCCAAGCAAGGTAGCTGAACATCCCTTCATGCGCCTGTCTGCATGTGCTCGGGCGTCCAACAGAACTGCTCAGAGAGTGCAAATGGTGCCATTGCCCTGTGTCCGAACACCTGAAAAGCCTCCAGTCACCACGATGACGAACGCCATCCGGCTCGTTTTGGCTTCAAGCCCCCGGAACACAGGACTGCAAATATTGATCTTCGAGGCATCACCGCAGCTGTCTCAAACAAGTACTCAGATGAACTGGTTGATCCGATGGAGAAAAAGACACCCGGCCACAGCACCGGTTGGTCTCGTATCTGCGGGGCTTGCAAGAACGCCTCAACCACAACGACAACTATCGTAACTATCTCAGTGTCCTAATCCTGTCCCGAACACGCCCAAGTTTCTACACGTTTTTTGCAGAGTCTCTGAGCCATTCCGGAGCCAAACACGAAGATGTGATCTCGGCCACCTGTCGGCAACGCAAAACGCAGATTCCGCAGAGGAGGAGGAGAAGCTCTCGGCTCTGGTCCGTGCCTGAAGCATTGAAGTACGGCAAAGCCACCACAAGCTCCTTGTGTGCCGGCAGCTCAGCTCCCAGCAGCTCAATAGCAATCAGACTTCCGAGTGCCTAGACGACAAGTCCAGCAGGCCTTGTAGAGCTCGTCCACTTCGTCCAAGCTGTAAAGATTG